CTTTTAGATACATTTTGTTTAAAAATTATAAAATAATACCATAGAAAGAATAGTGCCTAAGATTAACACCGTGTTCATTAATAAACTTAACTTCTAAATTCTCTACGTTATTATATATAACTTTACCTATATATATACAGTGTTATGTATGCTAATAAGGGACGACTATCACTATTGCTCAACTAGACTGTCAGCTGTTGTTCTCTTAGTTTGTTTTAGAGTTTCCATCACTAAAGAGTAACAGACATATTTATTTTAGTTACAAAAATGCAATAGATATATTACTAAGAAAATAAATATTTTCTTAGTAATATTTAAAAAATATCGGATCTTAACACGAATAATTATATGGCAACTAGTCGAAAATATAAATAATGTATATTAAACACGAAAATTAAATAATAACAAAATATTTTGCGAGTTTTAGTATTTATAAGTTTGAAAGGTACCTTATGAATAAGGTACACTATGAATTTAATCATCAATAACGACAATAGTTTCCCTTATAATTTTTTTATGCCATACGTAATAATTCTCATTGAATAGAACATTTATTATTTGCAAAATATGTCAGTATCATAGTGAATGATGCAAGACTTGAAAGGAGACATCAATTGTTTGAAATAGTAATATACATAAATATATAGAAATATTGTGCCCTTCAAACAATTGTCATTTCTGAAACTTCTATATGAATATTTATGAATATAATACTACAGTATCATATTTGTTTGTAAAAAGAAATATTAATGTCCGAGTAAAAGAAAACACTGTAATATCCAAATGCAACTATCTGCACATTTAAAAAATAGTATAGTAACTTTTAGAGTTGTCAATGCTAAATATACACATAATTAGTATCTATTACTTAAAAGGGTTATAAAAGAGACTTATCGTAATGTACCTACCGACTGGCTAAAAACTAGAACTAAGAAGAAATAGAACGAAGAATTCTATTGAAAGCAAAATAATCATCGCAAATTGCTATTACTAATAATTTCGTAAGTATTTTGCGTGATTTAACAAAAATGTAGATTGCAATTGCGAAGCATCTCTCTAAAATAATAAGATAATAAGATGATCTCTAAAATAATAAGATGTTATTTTACAGAAGCTAACACGAATCAGTAGATAACGAATAAACAGGATAATTAACTGAATCATGAGTTTCTAAGTCTTAGAAAATATTAACAACTTCACAAACATTTGTACGTGCGAAGTTTCCAGTCTGCGGGTGGCACGGCGATGTTTTCCGTTGGAGGTAGTGCAACCAGCGCCCAGCCGCGTCAGCGAAACTGCTTCCAAGAAGCCACCATGTGTGACTCGGACGTTGCTAAAGGTTTCAAACTGCATTGCATTTATAATACTACTTACATACGTAATATTAGGTATTATATTGTTTACTAGCTATTACCCATGACATCGTCTGCGTGGATTTTAACTTTTTTTAAATAAAATAAATAAAACATCTAAAATAGAACTAACCTAAGTTAATTCTAATAACAATAGTTATCTGTGAAAATCTTGTCAAAGTCGGTCTAGCTATTTCAAAGATTGACAAGAACAAATATACAGCTAAACAGAAATACAAATAAATAAATATAAATTATTTTTTTTTTTATATTAATACCTAATATACTTTCAGATGTAGTTACAAGCTGTTAATTTCCAAATTACAAACAGACAATTTAATTTTATTTCTGTGTATAGATAGAGGTAATATTACTACAAGTATTTTTTTTATTAAAATATCTATGTGTTGACATGCTAGATTTCTTACAGGATATTTAGAAACAACCTATTCTGTCTTTACAAACAATTTTTGATTTACACACATTTATAATTCTAAAGGAATTATAAATGTGAAGTCTAGTCCCAAAGACAATACATGATCAATATTATCATGATTTAGTCTGTGCCTCCTCCATTATATAAATCGTATTGTAAATATCTTAAATATTTATTTTAAACAACGTCTCGGTGATGGTGTGTTGAACACATTCTCATCTTAGTCTCTTCCACTGGTTCCCTATCATAGATACCGATAGATAAATACTCTATTCCATTATCAATCACAAAAGTAGAGGTACTATAAATCAGAGGTTACTGCGTACAATTGTAAATAGACTTATCCTCTCTGATCGATCTATTACTGCATATTAAATAGATTCCTTTGATGATTTATTTAGGAATCCACTAAGAAAGGATGTCTTATATATCCTACTAGTACAGGAGACAATGACTGAAAGTAACGATACGATAAACGACTAATTAACTAACTTTTTATTAGGTCAGTAGTTGTTTTATCATTATACAATAATCTCATTTAAATTATTTATTACTCCGGCTTCCACTGCTAGAAAAGATAGACTACGTTATTTGTATGTTTCTAAAAGTCTGAAGATATCTACGCCAAGTTTGGAATGACTTTTATACATATTAGATATATACAAAAAAAAATACTATTGTGTGTATCTTTACATATTTTATGCAACTTTGATTTTTGAAGTTGATTAAAAATATTATTTTATAGGTATACAATAATTTAAAAGTGTATATTTAATCTATAGCGAACCGTTGTATAATTTAACTATAACATACAATACCTAATATATTTATTTTATGAAAAATGCTGAATATATTTACCAGTAAAGTGTTTTGTTTCAATATGCCTATCCTAAATTCCCCGAAACCAAGGTATAATCGATGAACAAGGTATTTTTCGTGTTTGAATAAAATTCAATGAATATTTATCAGTAGATGTATATATTAGAGAAATATTTGCGTATAAATAGGAAATACAACACCTAACACTTGCACTGCTGTAATATTCTAAGAATATGAATTTTGCTTGCATGTTATTAATGTACTATGAACAATTTTAATGTATGCATTCTTAGTTGTTTTTTTAATGTTTCAACACAATGCGTTTTGATAGGTTATATGCATATTTTATTATTATAATGAATAATTTCATTTTAATTAAATAATAATAATAATAATAAACTTTATTCATAAATGCACGGTACAATTAAATATAGTTAGCCCTGGCTTTCGATTTAGGTGAACCTGTGCCACGAAAGCCAGTTCCCTCCAACATTCTGTAAACATTTTTGGTACATCTGCAGTTGTGTACATAAAGAAATGAGAAAAAAAATAACTTAAATACTTTTGAATACAAAAAATATGTATAAAAGGGACGCTATTCTTTTTGACATACTAGATTGTACTGAACTTTAATTTAACATAGTGTAGAGAGAAAAAAAATCAAAGTAATAAGTATACAAGAAAAGTGAGGAAAAGAAAAAAATTAAAATTAAATTATAGTGTCCATGTGTTTGATTAGTAGTATGGGTATGTGGGTAAGTGTGTGTGTGTGTGTATGTATGTGTGTGTGTGTGTGTTATTTATATAGTTTATATAGTCATTCTTTAACTATATATGTATGTGAATATAAATGAAAAAGAAATATTAATATTTGACTATTTTTTTATTGCAAGTATTTATTAGTTTGACAGATCGTATCGTAGTAGACAAAAGTACGTACGAAATACGTTACGTAGTAAACGACGTAGTAGACTAAAATGGAAGGAAAGGTACAGGAATGAAATTTGATTTAAACTATTGTTTCTAATAGATATAATCCCCAATCAAGTCCAATATTTTTTTAATTGTAAAATATAATTTATCTGGTGCAATAAATTAAATTTTTATTTTATTTTTATAATTGTATTTAATTAAAAGTCATTTTCTAAAACTTAACTGCTTATTTCTTCAATTCTCTAAGTGCTTTCTAATTATATATTGTAATTTTAGAATTACATATTCACGTATTTTTTTTAGCTAGGCCAGATCTAGAAATCTATATATCTAGATAATAAAGTTAATCTATTATCAAAATTACGTTATTATAATCTTAATTAAATTAAGTTTTAATTGACTATCAGACACAGGATCTAGGAATGAGATTAAAACATAAAATATATGAAACACAAATTTTAAGTAGCGATGTGTGCTTTTAGCCATATGTTGTGTAAAGGCCAAAATATTTACTTTTTATAAACTTTAAAGTTTTATTTATAGCAGTTTACTAGAAAAATCGAAATCAATTTAAATGTTACGCTTTCTATAAACATTTCAGTATTTAATCGATTTTTGTCGAGTTAACTATGCTACGTGTATTCTTTTTGCTGTAGACTTATCAGCTTTCTCTTATTAACAAATCAGAAACAAAGCCGGTCAGTACATGGGCAATGGTGACTGCAATTTTCAAGTTTTATATCTGCTGCGCTAGCGCAATTGATTAATAGTTAGGAAATTACTTTTACACAAAGAGTAATATAATTAAGTAGTAATTACATTTTTTAGTGTTTAAAATTAGGTACTAGAGATGCAATCGTTTGAAGAAAAATAGATATAAGTCAATATATCAGTATATTAAATCAATTATGAACATTCTTAATCAACATCTTTAACTTTATTTACACTCATCGACTAGTGTTATGTATGTTAGGTAGTATTTATGAAATTTATAAAAAATGTCACTCATTAAAATTGTTCAAGAACAAAGTGTAAGAGCGACCATGGAGGAGCTACGAGTGAAAGGCGTGCGCTTGACCGTCCGCCGTGAGCCGCCGTCGCCGCCCAAATTGCACCGCTGCCGAAGTTGGCGTCGGTGAGGATGCAAGGGCGCCGTGCGTCTTGCCGAAATTATTCGGGGCTCGCTGCACAATCGATTTTTCCCGCCCGATGCGGAAAATTCTTCGGGGCGGGGCGGGTGTAGCGGTGAGGAGGGGGTTGAGTGAGGGGGGCATAGCGCCAGGGGGGCAGGCGGAGTGCAGCGGGGCGGTGCAACGCGCGCCGCCGTCCCGGCCGTCGGGCAGACAGTAGGACGGCGACGCCACTGTGAGTCGGTGACCACGGCGCGAAGAGCGCGCTCGCCGCATTGTGACATGTAGCGCGGCCGCCGCGCCGCAGCCCCGCGACTCCACCGCCGGTGGCGGCGCGCCGATGCGCCTGCCGTCCGGCCCGACGCCCGCGCCGCGAAACGTTCGCACATAATACGCACCTCAACCTCACAACCAGTGTCGCTTTTACTGTTACACCTGAAGCGAGCCCTTCAGCCCGTCTGTATCGACGACCGTCGTCGGATGGAACCCGGAGTGCGCCGATTCGCATCAAGGTTAGAGGAATAATTGAATGTGAGTGATTGTGAGCGCCGCCCGCCGCCGATCAGCGCGCGCCCTAGCGCACCCTTGTACTTCAGCGGTACGCAGTGTACGCGCACACTACACGGCACCGTAACACTAGGTAGGTCCGGAACACGTGAAAGGGTGCAATGGGACGTCATCAGTGACTCATACGAAATTCCATGTTTGGGCAGCGCGTTTCGTATGTATGTATGGGTATTGTAGAAAAATATATGATGATATTATTATAATGATGTGCAGCTAATTGAATGTATTATAAAAACAAAGTGCACCGTTACATTATTTATTTTCTATTATACTCTAAAACGTTTGACATTTTACTTTTTAAAGCTAGTAAAGCTACGATACAACTATAATAGGTATTACCTAAGCTAGATTTAAGACTTAGCATAATGTTTGGGTATAGCCCAATGTTTCTTATAAGGAAGACTCGGATCTAACAATGGATTTATGAGTATAATGTGCTATTACGATTAATGATGATACCCAATATTTTTTTTCACTTTGTTGGTAAATAAAAGAAAGCGTACCACTGGTGTACATAACATATATCAAGGCAATTGCTAATGGGTGTAATAGGTACGTTAATGAAGTTAAGTCGTTCGTTCAGTTAAGAAATATATCTACTTAATCGAGCAAATCGCGTCGGCCATTTAAAAATTGTGTTTTTTAAAGTTATGCTAAATTTCATTATTAACAAAAAATATTACAGTTAAAATATTAAACACTGGTTTCATATGTAAATATTAAACAATTGATTCCGAAATAATATTCCTGAAATTCATCTTTCAATATCAAATTCACATGTTTAATATATAATCATCATATTTTAATAATTTGTAATAGCTTGCAATCATAACTGTATTAATATATAAATCACTTAGTTTTAGAGATACCCAGAATTGGTTATTGTATGAGAAATCAGCTCTTTCAAGATCCGTTATTGTAGTGAACTTTCTAGAAGAAATCCATCGAAGCTTCAGATGTTGTGGTCACCATGGTAGTCACTTATAGGCTTTCACACCCAAGTCGACCGTAACAAGGATAAACTGTGGGCTGAAATAATTTGTTTGCCTTGTCGTCTAGTCGGTAAAGAAGAAATATGAAACAAAAATTGTATTTACAATACATTTTAATACAAGATTTGTAATAAAAAGCATCATTTCGTGGTAGGTAGTAAAGCTGATGAATTTCATTTTATTATTGGGCACTTCATTTTCTAAAAGAAATAAATACGTTTCAAATTATATTATAAATTTAGAAGTTTGAACGTCTTCCATCTTGATACCTCTTTGTCTAGGTATCTGAATAGAAGTACCGAAACAAAACATTATTAATATATAAAACCTACCGACTAGGCCTTATACTGAAACATTCTCTAATATGGTAATTCTGCATTTATGTATTATAAGTAATTATATTAGGTTGTAAAAGTAAATAAATAATTCAACAATTAAGGCACGTTATTATTAATTATGTGGTTGTAATAATTAATAATTCTTTTTCTATTAATATTACAAGAGATAACGGGAAGATATGAAAGTCATGGTATCAATACATTATCCGTCATGAGATACCCATCATTAGATGCGTGTGTTTACTAGATTTTATTCCATTCTCTCCTTTACTGCAGATTTTATGTGCTGGGCAAGTTTAATGAAATATATACAACAAAATATTTTTTAGAAGCATAATAGAATTACGGATATTATGAGTACATGCCAAGAGGTAATAGAATTAAATATGCATGTTCATTGAACATAAATACGTATAATGACGTCGGAAATCAATAAAATCATCAACGTTATGTATGCATAATGGCAGATAATTAGTAATTATTATAAATTGTTAAAGTATTATGATTCTTATATTGATTTTAAATATATGTATGCATTATTTCGCAATACTAAAATAAGTTTTCAACCATCACTGTATCGTTTTAAACTAACAATTAAAAAGAGGAAAGTTTAATTGAAAGATCTTTTTGTGTTAATGGTGACAGCTCCGTTAAAAACTGTCAGTATACCTAGTAAGTGCAAAAAAGTTAAAGAATGTTTAGTTTGTCAACTGCATAATATTTACGAAGAACGTCTACAAAAACTGGCCAAATGAGTATTGGACAGGTTTAATACTAGCCATTAAAGATTCAGTTAGATTTCTTTCCATTCAAACGTTTGATCTGCTTTTACCATAACATTACTCTGTATTATGAAAATTTCACACATTTGCTAAAATACTATAATAAAAGTGGGTGAAATGGATTTGTTTACAAATATACAGGTGAACGTGAAATAAAAGCGTGTTTGATTCCTCTGAAACTCCGATTATTTTTAATCTAGTTGTTAGTATTACAGTGCTAATTTTGTTGTATTACCTACTATCTACAATGCACAGTAGTTACGAACTCTATTATAATACTGTAAAAAATTAGTTTAGGAATAAATTTAATGTTTGATATATTGATTCTAAAAATGTAACATCTGCCATGCTACTCATTATAAAAAAAGGAAATAATAAACAGATAGGTAAAAAAATTCCTAAAAACTGTTTTAAAGATAAAAGATAGTTTATGTTCGTCCTTCTAGTAGAATCTATATTCATTTCAGATTTCATTCAGAGCCCTTTTTGTCATGAAAACATAACAAGCAGATAGATATATTATCGCATTTATAATTAGAATATATATAGATTTATACATAGATTTTTCCTAGATTTTTTATTTCGAATCTATATTAAACATTCAATCACACAAAATAATAAAATAGTCAATAAGGTGAGATAAAGCCACTCTTATCTCTATCTTCTTATTTAGTAATGAGACTAAATTGCAGGATAAGAGACATAATACAGGTATATACCATATATTCTAATACAATACAAATATTTTTTAATTCATATAATACACATGTAATGTAATGTAGGTTGGACTTCATTTTCCGCAATTGGCTTCTCATTATAACACACATAATACACATTCACCTATTAGTGTAATGTGTATACTATTAATAAAGATTTTCTCTTTTTAATAATTGTGAAATAAAATTGCAATGTTGTTAAAACTGTACACGAAGGAATTCGTATCTGAATACTATGGTTCAGGAAATAGCTTTGTTTTCTGTATTTTGCATTGTCACTAATTTAGCATTCTACTCAAAACGGCTGAACTAAATAGGACGATATATTCGCGCTAAACATTGTTAAAGTATTTCTCTTTTTTGTCGACAAGGAAATATAAATCCAAAGTTGTATAACTTCTTCTTGCAAAGAGCACCAGCCAAGTTTGTTTTGAGCTAAAACTGCATTCAGAATGTCACACTAGAATTAAAAAGTATAATACTGTTCAAAAGTATGTAAATTAACATTATACGTATTAAGATTATTCTTATGCTTTACTAGCGGACCTGCCCGGAAAAGCAGCACCGACTCCCGGGGTGCAATTGTGATGATGTTTTTGAAACCAATTGTTAAGTGGAATAATGTAAAGGCAATTACATTCATATACCATATATCAAAGGCATTCATATGTCTTTAGTAATAAGCGTACAAACAGAATATCAACACTGCAGATTTATCTGTAGCTTTATGCTGAATTGGTTGAGAATTGCCTTTGCGACACAACCAACCAACTTTATGTATGTTATATGTCTGTATTTCTTTAATAAAGAATTTATCTATCTATTTAATGACTGCACTTGACATTAGATAACTTAAAAAATGATCCATTTTGTTTTGCGTGATTTTATATATGTTTATATGATTGACTTTATATGATGTCTGTTTATAAAGAGATTTGATCCCTGAATAATAACTGGTCTATTAATGCAAGGTTTAAATTAGGAGAGTATAAACAATAATATTAATTTAGGTTTTGATATAGACTAAGAAAGATTTCTAATTTCTTATTGCTTCCATCATTCATTATGCAGATGTGTTATCTTGATCTCAATTAAGATTTTATAATTAGCTGGACCAACTTGTTAACAATGCTATTCGTTTCGTCTTCTGTCTCTGTAAAATTGACTACTTTCCGGATACAGGTCCCAGCTTAATTGGTCCCCATACGTCTGTTATGCATATCAAATATCATCTCTATACTCTTTTGCCCTTCGTTTCCGGAATATTTGAAGAGTTATCTTCATTATCTCTGAGACTCTTCTAATCGTAACCTTCATTCTAATGACTCTCTCTTGCTTCTTACTCCACTTCACAAATATGTCTTCATATCTCATTCTTTCACTATCCAGGCTTTATGACTGGAACGCACTGCCCGCGCGTGTTACCTAATAAATATCTGTTTGCGAAATTAGTTAATGCACGTCCTTTATTTTAATAGTTCAAATCACACGTCATTATCATATTATATTTTTTTGTTTAATATAATTTATGAATTGTCGGTGCATATATTTATAATGCTCTGTTTTTATAATTACATAATCTTAAATTAGTTATCTTTATATATTTAAGTAGCAAAGTAAATTAAATCCCAAAAATTGACTGACAAAAAATGCTTCTAGCAATGAGTCCCCATTTGCCCCATTTATCTGATTTGTTAAATAAAGATTTAATTAAAGATTTTGCTATTAATTCATTAGAGAATTAATTAGAGGATTAAGTGAAACAAAGCCATTTTGTATTTTATTACATTTGTTAAAATAAATTTTAGTTGGAAAATAATATTATATACGAGTATGTAAAATTATTCTGCTAATGAAATATGGGTAAATATATAATAAATAAAACCAGTTTATATACGAATATAATACGTATTGTAGTATTTCTAACCATAAATATTTACTATATATGTATTTAGATAGTTATAATATTTAATTGTTATGATTACAATTACCTCATGGGATAGTATGACGAAAACAACCTTTAGTTATAGTTAACATCTATCTACGCATCCGTTAATAGAAATTTGTGAGTTGCTACGGTTGCTATGACAATGGTACCATTTACTACTCAGCTATAA